ATCAATTTTGCAATTAAAATTTGTGAATGTTCATATTTTCGCCATATCTCTGCTTAGAAAACAGATATCAAAATGCGGTTTTTCACTGATATTCTCACTTTTTCATCTTATTTGATAATATCATATAATAATTATATCGTTCCGTTTGAAATTTTCAAAAAAAATGCAAAGTTCATGTTAATGTCACATCGCGCCCTCTACCATTCAGCACATTTACTAAAACGACTCTATTCATGTAAAATCTGATTCCACGAAGAGACCTCTTTCCAACAAGACCTATTATGTAAAAATCTGTTAGCCTACTCCGAAGTTCCCTTCCCACACCCCTATTTTATGAGCTAGAGCAAAATGTGCTCCATCAAAATGATGCAAAATTGATACAAGATTGGTGTGCATGTATTTTTTATGCATGTTTGTTGGGTATATTTTAGAAAAAAAGTCATTTTTCTACTTAACCATGAATCGTACGCCCTCTAGCGGAGAAGCTAGAAACTATCTCAGCTAGAAAATAATTTGCAGAGATTTCTTTTGGCCCTTTTTATTAACAACATTTTTTTCCCAAACCTGTGCAATTAACAGTTCCATAGATATAGCCTATGACCATTATTAATGGGACACCCTGTACTGACAAATTTAAGCGCAGAAAATCCATGGCAACCATTGTCCCAATAATCGTTGCCATGGATTATAAGCTACGCTTAAGCTTAAATTTGTCGGTGCATAGGGCCATAATAGCCAACCCTAATTTGAGATTGAATACTCAAGTTACTGTCTAAAAATTTCAAATGCAATTTTTAGTCACAAAAAGGGCAAATTTGCCCCCATTTAACCTACGCTGTATCTGGAACCGTTACGAAGATCCCAATGGCGAATTTGAACGACCCTGTATATCTCCCACATAGTAAATGGCAGAAAAAACTGTTTATACGTTCTTTGTAGAAAATGAGCTTTCATTTTGGAAATATAAGCAGTTAAAGAAGTGATAGTTTTCAAGATATTGAGGAAAAACCGAAGAAAAGGGTCTAAAATATAAAATGGCGGTATGTTGCGCACCCCCCACATATGGGGTTTTTGGATATGTTCAAACCATTCTAACCAAAATGATGACAAACCGTTATTTTGGCATTTTTTTGCTAACGCCATTTTAGGGTATTCAAATGTAGACCGAGGGCCAAAATCAAATAAATATTAGGCAATGGTTATTTATTATATAAGAAGATAAAGGGATATTTTAACAATTGAGTGAATTAACTTTCCCGTTATCGTCATGTATAATAATACAAAACTTTATTTTACAGCAGAAGCCAAACGAATCATTGTAAAGCTTCCGGCAATCCTGAATTTAATTTAGACATCAAAATTAGCAAGCTTAGGTTCTACCGTCGCGGTCGATTCCATAGAAACAGCATTGTCATATGTTACGAACGTCACTTTATTTCGTGCTCCGCGTCACATTTGAAAGAAAAATAGATGTCATTAGAATGCACAATCATCTGTTTCACTTTATCTACCCTTGCGGTTAAAGTGATCACTTTATTTACCCTTACGGTTTAAGAGCGGCTTAGTCTACCGATTCAAACCTTTGTTTCCCTACGTTGTCAAAGATGAGAGCGAGCCACCCTCTAGTGAAAAATGTAAATATTGTTAACGTAATTTCGGTTTAAGCATTGGAAATAGCGGTCGGGACATCCTGTATGTAAAATGTTTCAATTTATTTAATAGGACCTGGTAGAATTTCTTTCGAATGGACACAGAAATAGAAAAAGTTGATGAATTGTCATTTTAAATTTAGTTATTTATTGTAAACTTAGTTAGTTGTTTAATTAATTTAATTCTATTTTTTGTCTAAAACGCATAAATAAGGAAACATTTAATCGTAATGTGGAAGTTTAATCTGGTCAGGTGTTTGTTGAAAAGAAGTATTTATTGAAAAAGTTAAATGGTTCTATGATAACAATACCATGTGCGAGATGAGCAACGCATGTGTTTATCAATACGGGCGATGAAGCAGTGTTTCGAGTATCGCCAGAAAACTACTATATGTATGGAATTAATGAATGGAGGTGGTCTCTTTTCTAAATACGAAAAAAGAAAGATAATGCTGTTTGCGGGTCGATTGTAAAAGCGTATGTCAGTGTTGCGCTAAATTTTTACGGGTTTTAAGGTCTTGTGCCTGAACTTGAGAAGACGAAGTCAAGTTTTGTTAAAGTGTTGTTTGTTTCAAAAATAAAACTAAGGTTTGAGAACCACCAGTGCAGTCACTTTTGGACCATGTCTAGCATGCCGTATGGATCGTCCCCACAGCCGTGATGAATGTTTCTGTGGGCCTGCCTTCCCCTAATCACACCAGGATCAGGCCCTGGGGGAGACTTACGACAATGGGCAAAGGGATTTTTAAACCATGGAGGATGCGAGGTAGGTTACAGTCAAATTCTAGTTGAGGCAGACAAGCGGCTTCCCATACTGGAAGGCAGAGAGGTTTCTCTTATAATTTGTTATAGGTAAATGTCGTAGCTGAATTATAAACATTGTTTACTAATAGGCGCTTTCGAAAATTGGACCGGTTTAACCCGGTTGGTAGATATTGCTATGGTAACCCTTATTGCCACAATTGTTTCAATAGTAATTTTTACCAACCGGTTCAATTTTCGAAAACGCCTAATGTAAACTACATCAATGTCGTTTTAGTTGCCTACACTACAAGGAGTAAACATTTCCCATAGCACAGTAGCCCAATTTATGAGTAATAATACAAAAATAATAGGGGTAACCTTTTACTATCTATAAATGGAAAAACTAAAATAAATTGCTTTACCTACCTAGAAATGGTCCTGCATCCGTACTCAAGACAATCTACAAATATTTTTCCAATATGCTGATTATACAAAAACATAAGAGCCGTAACGACCCGTTGTCGATTTTGTGCATTTAAGTTTTCTACTTGAGGTAATGGGCCCCAGTTCACCAATTTACTATTACATTCCTCCCAACGTCTAAGAGCGTTTTCGGCGATAAATGCGGGTTCCAAATTTGATGAATCGTGATAAATAGACGATTGAGCTATGCTTGGCACACGGAAGGAGATAATATGAGACTGGCCCTTATTATCGACAACCTAAACTTTTAAGAAATTAGGTACAAATTCTGAATTATTTTACTTACCTCAAGATTGTAAATACTTAATAGTAGGGTCCCCACGCTCGGAAATCCTTTTGTATTCGCCAAATTTAGTAATACTAATGAAGGAATGTATTGCATAGTAAAATACTTTAAATTTTGTTCCCCGGATCTATAAAAACTAAAGAGTTGTTGGCACACTCTATCTAGGAACTGAAAAAAAAAAAGTTGACGCGCATACAGCACAACTAAAAGCAAACGTACATTTTCCACCTTAGATTTATTGGGATCTTCCAAGAAGGCGTACAATGCCTTCATCACTTCGTAGTTCTGTTCTTGTTCCGTCGAATACGTGTGAATTTCACTCTCCGTAAGTGACTCGTATTCCTCTAGCCAATCCAAAATTAATACATCTGCCATAATTGATATCTTAAATGAAAACTGTTGGTGTTAGAAAGTTGGGTTATAATAAAATAGTTTTCTTATTAGTCATGGATGTGGATGTATCAGCTAATTTTTTAATGGAAAGTCTATATTTCGAATTCGCCCGCATCACAACAAATTAAAAACAGCTCAAAATTTAAAACGATATAATATGCAACAGCTGAAACTGTCAAAACTGTTCCATTTTTTTGAAAATTGAGGTTAGTATTGTAAATAGGTTGTAGGTCAAGGACAATATGTAGTTACGTACATCCTTGCTCGAAGGACAAATAATTTTGTTGTGGATACTGGGAACAAGAAATTTATTTCTTATTCTGAGGTGTTGGTGTCGTTTTTTTGTGCAAATCAAACGGCACTTTTTATATAGGACTTATTAGTCACTTTACTTTTATAAAATAAATTTTGAATTATGGAAAACATCCTTTCAGTTCTAAAGGCGCTGGTTCACCAAGCACGCCAGAAAAGGGGTGCCATTGTGCCAAAGGTTTGCCTTTGTGTATTGGATTTTCTCAACGCTACAGAACCAAGCACAGGAACCAAGGCACGGACGTATCCTGCTGCCTGATTGGCTAATGCAAACGCCCATCTCTTTTAAACAATGGACCGATTACCTGCTGTTGAAGTAGAAATAGAGAAATAGCTAATGTCGTCAACAATAAAGTGTTAATAATATAAGAGAAACTCTTATATGATCAATATCCGATAAACATTTAATTCTATCTTCGATAAAATCATTATACGATCCGCGATATTATATTATAATAACACAATATACTGGTACCGGGCTGCGTATTGGCATTCTGTACTATTATTCAGAGCAGCTCTGGTCTGATTCGCAGTATAGTATGGGTTCACGTTATGCGCAATTTGATAATACCATTGAATTCAGATTTATTATTCAATGATAGTACAGAATGCCAATACGCTACCGGGCTACCGGCACGTAAGAAGGCGAAATATGACGCATCCCCACTATTCACATTCTTATATTAACCTACTTCTGGACCACTAGTGCGTCATGGTCCACGGAGCCAGTTGGCTCTTCCTGCAGACTTGAAAATGGCCAAAATCCTTCAGACACAACCGCGCGAAAATCACGCGATTACCGCCGTGTCTGAACACAACCTAAATTGGTCATCTGCGCATAGCCCGTTCTCGCTTTCGTAAGGGCCGGTATCAGTACAAATATACATAATGACGTTTTAATCGAAATAGTTGAGCACAAGGAAACAAAAGAAAGTATTTTAGCAACATTAAAGAGAAGAGAAGAAACAGATTTCGAAAAATAGATTTTTCACCCCCCTGAAAAAGAGGTGAATTTTTTTCGAAAAGCCTTAATATCTCGGAAACGGCTCCACTTTACGGGTTGAAAAAGTGTTTACTAACATTGTGCTACCCAGCGCAGCTCTGTGCGATGAGAAAAAAAAGATTTTTCATCCCCATGAAAAAGATTTTTTTTCGAAAATCCTGAATATCTTGGAAACGGCTAAACTTTACGGGCCACTTTTACTTCGAACATTTTCGCTTAAAATAGTTTTGCCGCAAATTGCAAAATACTACTTTCCACTTCCACTCCTTTTTTTTAAGTTAAAGAACCTGTTTTTATCGTGTTAAGAGCTAATAATATTAAGAGAGGTGAGCTGCTTAGTCGACATTACCATGAAATTATTTTTTCCAAAAATCTTAGCCGAGATATAATGTGTTTGTTTACAATATTAAGATTGCTAGAAATGTAGGTACTTCACTCCGTAAACAGATGGGCGAAGGTTGGCCATATGTAGGATCTTGTATTACACGGATGGATGGATGGCATTGAGATTATCTATGAGTTCGAAATTTTGTGGTCAGTGGCTTAATCTTAATGCGATTGACTTTTACTATACGGAATTGTCTTTGCTCTAAATCAGCATGTATCTACCTAATACGCTGAATCACGCTCCATCAAAACATCCGCCAAACCAAATGTCCCTCCACCGATAAGTACCGCCGCCGAATCGCCTCGCCGCCTAAACGCACTCCGCCGGAACGTCGCGCACCTGATGAGATGGGGCGAATTTGTGCCACAGACATTTCTGTTAAAATTCGTTTCCTGAGAGGGACTTTTAGTTATCATTTCATCTGTACTCTGTTGTACGTTAGAATTTAAAAGGGGGAAGTATGTCATATCATAAGATCATTGGAAAAACGACTACCTTTTTGAAAGACAATATCAGTGTAACGCACTTAACGTGGCATGGCATGAAATATAGTCCATTCCTTCTATATATATTTTTTATACATAGGTACGTACACTTTCAAGAACTAACACACACGTCAACACCAGTTTTTTGTTCTGGGGTCAACACTTCACCGCGAAGAGACTATCCGAGCGATGGGCATTACTGCACCAAAAAAACTGTTACGAGATCGAACTGCGGTTGATGTCGAATCTCATCTTTAGGCTTGCATTTCCCAAAAACGAGGTACAAGTCACCTGTCCCAGGGACGAGACCCTGCTAACAAAAATTCTTCGGTTTTTAATCCATGTGTGATATGAGTTACGATTTAATAACTTCAACTTATCCCGTAGTTTAAACATGCAAGTACACTAGAAACTAAACCCAAATTTTTATGAAAATCGGTGCTGTTTGTCAAATTTTACGACAAAACGGTCGTTGACTCGATTATCATTGTTTACCTTGAGATTATTAAACGTTAGGTGTTGTAACGCTAAGCCGCCGAGGTCGATACATTGTCTCTCAATGTACCTATTGGTGCGGGGTACTCACTGCCGACAACGAGCTTGCAGTTTTACACCCCCCACAACGCTTTTATATCATTCTGCCATGCGTTGAAATTATATTTCACAAAAATAATCATAAAGTTATCTATTTCCATACTATAATATTATCATACTTTAAACTCATATTTTTTACAAACTTATATTCAAATGACCTAGATATTGGTCTCTTCTCTGAAAAAATCATTTCCTCATCGTAAAAATACTGGTATTTCTTTTAATCACTAATATTAAAACACTGTTAGTACCTAAGTAGATCAAATTTGATATGTTTTGATGGTAGTTATAGTAGGTACTCGCACGATCAATTTAATATAGAAAATGTAGAAATTTGTCGCCCTCAAATGTATAATAAGCCTATATAAGTGTTTAAATAAAAATCAACTTACCCACTGTGAACAAGTAGGTACACAATGTAAAGTTATAGTAGTACCTACTTACTTAAAAACATACATTGTTACTGTAAAACTATAAACGACCTTAAACATTGAACCAAGAAATAATTAATATGTAATTCCCGAAGTTATATTTCAATTCCACTGCATATATATTTATCGGAAAATTTCATTTATTAAACTAAACCTTCAAAAATAAGTAGCCGCGAGTCTCTCTAAAGGTAGTAGGTACCTACCCCATTTGTAAAATTGTAAATAGGTATAAAATACATTAGATCCGTGCATCTATTTTCCATAACTTTTATCTCATTCTAGATTACCTTGTACCTTTGGTCATTGGTCATACCTCGTTTCAATTACAGGCATCAATTTGTTGTTCAATGTGCGGGACTTATTGGGTTCTTAACACTGAAAAAGTTATCGTAATGAAGTATTTAAGATCAGTTTAAATTGATTTTAAAATTAACAGAAAGTATCTAACTCTATTCCAGCAACCTTTCCTCTTTGTATATTCATTTATCTGGATAATTTTGTTACACGACTCCACAGAAAAGTAACAAGGTTGAATGTGGAAACACAACCTGGATTCAAAAAATTCAGAAAATAAATGGTCATTAAATAAATTCATTTCCGTCCGGGGGGGCATTTTTAACCCAGTGCAATACTTCTCTTACCAACGTATACGTGCGAACCTATCATAATCAGATTGGTGTATCACCGTGTCGGGTGTAACAATTAAATACCTATGTTTAAAAAAATGGGTAGTATAGCTATAGGTAGAAAGTACCAAATCGAAGATCCAAATATACCGCCAAAACTCCTGTAATTTATGTTTCCCACGAACCACAACAGATACAAGGATTATAGCACTAGAGGATTTACCAAACGTTGTGAAAAATAAATAATGAGTAAGTAGAAGGTATACATCAGAACTAGTGTGCAAATTTTGAACGTAGCCATCTTGAATGTCTTATTCTCATATGCAAGGTGTCAATAGTAAAACTTGCAGTCGGCCATAAACTAAAGAAGATATTGAAAATCGCGCAAAACCGTTTCGAGGGTATCGAGGGGGAACCAGAATGATGGTATGAGTGACAGCCCCCCCCTTAACCCCCTCTGTAAAAATCCTAAATGGCAACCCCACACTTGTGACACATCGTTGGAAAGCTACTGAAAAATGCTTTCCAGTGGTACCATAATAAAGTCAATATTCATTAAGACAATTTAACAAAAATTTAATAATATTAACAAAAAAAAACTAAATGTTGACAGTGAGGGATTTATGGCAAATTGGCCAAGAACTTCAACCTGAGCTGCTTCATTAAGCAACCTTGGTTACTTTCTTTTTTTATTGGCTTACAGTACAGCTGAACGTGTGGAAATAATATTCATTTATGGCTCCAAAAATCGACCATCTTTTAGAACAGCTGGAACGTACAATGAGAGACATCACAGGAGAACTGTAAGCCATGCCTATGTTCAAGATTTGGTCGCTAAATTCGAAGAAACGGGATCTGTTATCAATAAAAAAAGAAAGCAACCAAGATTGTTTGTTATTAAACTATTATTTAATATCTGCTTTTGTAGACTAAAACTTTACGCTACGTTGAAAAAATCAAAAACAATTTGGAAACTACTTCACATCATTTAATGGATAAGGTAAATTTCAAATTTACCGCGCCCAAATGATCGCATCGGTACAGAATGGTCGACAGCTTAGTGTCATTATGAGAACCCGGAGCAAAATAGCCCAACACAAACGCCGTACAGATCTGTACATTTAATTTGAAATATACCGACAAACACGATTCAATTTGGTCTCATCGGAACAGTTATTGACCTACTATATTGGCACCGATACAAAAACGCTCAACACAAATACACCTGTATTTATCTATTATTACACCCTGTATATTAAAATTTCACCAACTCGCAACTCCCTAAACATTTATTTTCGATTAATCGGTCACCAGATGCTAATTACAGAAAACTATATTACCGATTCTTGTAACGGCAAACAAATCCCCACTAAGCGGAGCCACAATCGGAAATTCAAACATTCAAATCTCCCGCACAAATTCAAACGCATCTTCAATCTTAAGCTCCCTATACCTACCTACATTTATTTTCAAATTTTACCGAGTGATCATGACCTATGGCCGCGCCGGAACAAAATGGCCTACCAATTAGGGCCCTAACTAACTCGCGTAACATCCCTCTACATTTATTATTGAATTCGAATTTACCGGGTTTCCATTACCATCGTTTACATACTATTTAAACAATGTCATGTACTTATTAATTAATTTCAACAAATTTAAATGGCAAGTTTACCTACTATTATCAAAGATAGTCTTTACTACAATATTTCAAAATACAATGTCGAATAAGCTTTTAAAAGTAATGTAATTCATAAAATTTGATGGCTTGCTTTACTTTTGATGTTATGATCATATATTTGTATAGATTAGTGTTACGAAATAGAAGTTTATAAATGCAAGTAATTATAAAATTAAACTTACCATTGTCTATACCTAGATTGAAGAAAAAAATATAAACAATAACACACCTTTACGAGTCGACCAATAAAAAATAATACCAATAGATAAAATGGATAACTAGTACTTCTACTACTTTTATATTAACTTATTTATAAGAAGTTTGACTGTTGTCTGTTTCAATCAATGGAATAATAGATTAGCAATTTACATGACTAATTAATACGATTTGAGTCGAAGGGGCTAAAAATAGTACTTACTCTGTTTGAGAAGTATTAATAAGTGCTACCATTGATAGTTATAAATTCAATGGAGCTACTGCTACTACGCATCACTTTTGGAAATAAATGTGAGTATCCCGTTTTCGAAAAAAACCATTCCATTGATAATGTATATAGGAGTTCGTTCAATCTTTCACAGAAAAATTCTCAGATATTTTACTGAATCAATTTTCTTATTTGTGGAGCGCTTTGTTTTCAATTTCAGTATAGACATATGCACTGTACAGAACTTCCCTAATTATTGGTGGTACGATCTTTTTCTTTTTGTCTTTAATTTTAATGCCACCTCTTTCTAATAAAAGCAAACTAATCTCTTATGTCAAACATGTAGGGGGCAGAATTTTAAATGCAAATATCCCCAAGAACGGAGTGTCGGAAGAGAGTAGGTATAGGTATCTACTTTAAAAAAAATAGAAGTCGACAAGACGGGACTAAAGCTACACATTCGTATGCGTCTTGAAAATGGCGTATCGTAAGATGGTACTCAGAAAGCGGAAATGATAGATGTCGACGAGACGCATCCGTTCGTGGGGTCAAGAATTGCGAAAACGATGTGTCCAAACGGCGATGTTGGGATTGTTTCGTAGATGAACCCTATTAATTGTAGGCACTGCCTCCAGGGCACCATGAGTGTGGAAAAGTGGATTTTGGGCGATAAAATGGTCGATTTATTTTATTAGATGTTAAATCGGTAAATGCTTATCGTATCTATAATATTGCTTCGAATGTGAAATCTGTATAAAATGAAGGTGGGCAATGAACCTAAACTTTCTATAATGGAGTTTTGTGGATAACCCTGCAATAAAAAAAATAAGCGTGGCATTTTATTATTAAAGGGTTTATACCGTCGGTTAGAGAGTCAAAATTGTATGTATATAGTGCTGGATGTTGGAGATCAGTAGTGATGTTTTTTGTATTATCAATTTTAGTGCTTTATTATAACGGCCTTAAATTTTCTACTAAAAGTCTATTGCTTCTGGGTGGCATCTAAACTCCTAACCTTTCTTTCTTTAGCGTTGTTCAAAAAAACAATTACGATTCGTGCACCTGTCTATAAATTTCAATATTTTATTTATTAATGGATAAGACTATTAAACCTTTAGGATAGGGAAGAAAAGTATCACAATTCACAACAAAGCTTCATCATCTAAATAGGACATGGCGCCATCAATCTGTAAACTTATTAAAATCCTTAAAAAAACAAAACAGAAATTTCTATATTACAGGGTGGGGCACGGGGAACCAAGTGTTTTTTAAATTACACAGAACAGTAACCTCATTTTCTTGAAAAAAAATAGGGACGGATGACGCCAAACTTTCGTTTGTCGGGTTTTTCGGCAGCCCAATCCTGATCATTTTGTTTGTTGTCAGCCCCATGAAGGTGGAAATGGGCTTCATCATTCATTGCTACCATAATTTTTCATTCTTCTCATAAAGTACAAGCATTTCCTGTCCAAAATTCAATCGTTGGTTCGCTAACTTGTATGGGTGAAAATATAATTCTTCAGGCAAAATCCGTCTTACAGTACGATTACTGAATGTTTCCAAGCAGAGCGGCCTGGGCTTTGTAACATCGCTTGTCTGACCCTTTCAACGGTCTCTGGAGTACGCACAGTACGTTGGGGGCGAGGCGTTTTTTTCATTTCCGAAGATTGTTAATCCAACATTATGATTGTGTCACGAGCAGGAACAGAATCATTTCGATGAGGAGGTACCGGGGAGCAATGTAGTTTTGGACAAAGACACTAATCCCGGAGGTTTGGTTGGGCGGTACGTGGGGATGTATTTATTACCTTACAACATTGTTAACAGGACACTATGAGAACGCTGTCTACTTGATGAGATTTAAGACAAGACCGAGCATTATTCTCTAGTGGTGAGGACCAGAGAATTTGACAAACGGTAAAGAAACAGGAAACAAGGCAATAAGCTATAAATATTAGGCCAATATCTAGGGGGCGGCCACCTTCCCAGCGAAGAAGCGTAAGCGGTACCCTAGAGCTACTACAGCATAAGAGAAGGGTTTTGGTGAGTAAACGTCTATCGAGGAACTAAGTATAGAACCAAGCAGCGGTGGGGTGGGGGCCGAATAAAAAGGCAAGGCAGGTATTAAGAATTATCATTATGCAATATGACTTCTTCGATATGATTGAAAATGTTTCATTGGACTCAAGAGTGGGAAACTTGTTGATTAACTTAGAATAAAAGTGCAACTGTAAAAAATTCTTCTCGTTTTACCCGCTTTACATATTAATAATTTATTTTGTTGAGTACCAAACTTACAATACATGAACTTTTAAATTTATTGTAATATAAAATAATACTGCAGTCTACTGACAAAACTGAATCGCCTATAGTTAAAACAAAGTCTTTCAACATTGACAAGATTTCTTTAAACAGCAAGTGATACACCATTCATATTACTCTCTAAAACTTAATTTAGAACAGCATTAAAAATACAAATTTAGAAAATCGGTCGGCAATTTCTAAATGAATTTTTAATATTTAGGTCTAGTAGCAAAAATATTTATTCTATAGACTGTTCTAATTGATATTTCAAAGAAATTGACGGAAATCGTTATCGAAACCGTATACATGACTCACCTATAATTTGTAAGTTTTAAAATGTATTGAAAATGGTTTAAAACTTATTACCTCAACGTAACAAACACTTATATTAAGGTAATACAATTGCATATGTCTACAATCTATCATTAAAAAATTAATATTACATAACACTTTTATAAAAAATTAAGTTAAATCGAATTATATTAAGAACTAAAGTTGTTTGTAGAATTGTTCCGCAAATAAAATTATGTAGCATGAAACTGATGAGTGACTGGCAAAAAGCGTATAAGGTGCAAGAATCGTTGATTATCAAATTTGTATTCATACTTGCTGCTGCATTTCATCCACATATGTTTAATACTAAACAAATTCAGTAAGGAAATTCGCTTGGATTAAGTATCCTCCTCACTCAAGTAACAATTGCCAGATTGCAGTATGTAAGTGTTAAAAAGTAGATGGATGAAAACTATTTAGATACTAAACAACTTTAAAGTTCAAACTCTTCCAATGTTTCCAGTTTCGCTATTTGCTCCGGAGTGCTATTTTGACCGATGATTAATGTGTGCGAGTATCCCATAGAAAGACCCAACACCTTCACTCCGTTCAGTTTTTGAACCTTAAATATTTGTATAGTCAGTCACACAATAAATTATACTGAATAAAGCTTAGTGATTCTGTTCTACCGCTAAACCTTACCTCTCGTGGCGTACTGCTCGATTTTATAACGGTGCCAAGTCCCAATTCACCGTAACAGGGTGATGCACCCCACGCGATAACGGCATCATCTGCCGCGATCATAATGGAGGTCAATCCGGCGGCGATATGGTGTATATTCCACCCTGTTAGGTCATGTACAGGCTTTGGATACATGTTGGCTTCACCGGTACGTTTCGATTGGCCGAACATAAATAATCCACCGATGTCAGTCACCACTAAACTAAAGGTGGATCCGCATGTGACTGAAATTACACCCCGCGATTGTATGTCAAAGTACTTAATTAATCTCGGTACCTATAAATAATAACAAAACATTATGATTTAGTTTTGTAAATTATGATATATTCTGCAGCGAACTTCGAAAAATAAAAGGGAATTGACTATGGCTATCCAAACAGGAGCGGATGCTCCAGTGAAACAGACACTGAGGTTCGACAACACTAATACCATGTTGGACGCCAGGTCACGCAAAAAAATATACTAAAAATGAAATAAAATTTTATATTCATCTAAAATGTTTTATTTTGTGTTGGCTTATTTTTTAGTAGCTCTTGCTAGATTTAAAAACGTTTGCATGGAAACACGGCTAGATCCAAATATATAAATTCTTCAGTAGAAGAGGAAACTCCAGTCACCGTCTCCTTCCAACCATGGCCTAATAAGAGTATGGTCTGCTATTGCGCATAGTGCATTAGTCGGCTGGCGTTGATGTGACGTCACGCGGTTGTGAAACGAACTGATGGTCGGCACGACTCCCATAAGAATAAGTAAGAATGTCTAACAATTACGGTGAAAAGTTTTCATTCATAAAGTGCTTACACCTAATTAAAGCTTATCTGCATGTATATATACGTAACAAACTGTGTTGTATTACAAAAACAAAGTAGAAAATCATTAGGTTTTAATGTAAAATATGTACAAAACATCAATTCAGACATGAGGTTTTTCATTGGTTACTAATTGTTCGTCTTTCTGCAAAAGTCCCGCAGTTTCTCATTTTTTTTATTTCGTTTCCGAATTATTATATACGTCCTTACTCCAAAGTTCAAAGAGTATCGTTATATTATATGCTCTTTGCTTTAACTAAGTGGTCGAAAGCGTCGTTAGGTATCAATGTCTTACCACATGACGCATTAAGTTTATTACTTTTCAATAACAGCAAAATAATTTGGTGGCTTTTTTAAATCCCGTTCAGATATAAAATAATCCAATTATCGCCTATTTCAAATTCGGCGATTTCGCCTAAGAATCGGTATTTCGTTTTTAATTTGTATGCAACGTAAGCAGTCATATAAAGCGAACCTTCTTTATGAATGTTCGTTGTTTCTTGAGCAAAATGAAGGTAGGTATTTCAGCAATACCTTCTTGCCATGTTAGCCCGTTAAACAAGTATTAATTTCCGTCAAGTTTTCTAATGGCTGAGCAAAGCAGCATTCGCTGGCCCTTTGGAAGGTATATTAACCAACAGTGTCAAAACATATTCCGTATCGTACCTATCTACCTATTTATTAGGTCGTTATACAAATCTATTAACGATCCGTTAGTTCGTTGAGTGAAGGTGTAGCCATCAATCAGATGCCGATACAATTATACCCCGTTGAAAAGCAACATGTTTTGGAACTCTATACTAACTTGTATTTAGTTTTTCTATTGTTATTATTGCAACCAGACATCACACAATGGACCATTGTAATAAAGTAATATAGCTATATAATCGTATTTATCACATATGCAATGGAATATCGAAATATTAGCACATATTTATTCATATACGCGTGTACAATATTTCAGTGTACACAACCGCGTGACGTCATGCGCGACTTGTGCGAGATTTCGTTCACGGGAATAGCAGACCATACTCTTATTAGGCCATGCTTCCAACTTCAGTAGTTCAAAGTAACCATAGCTGCTTTTGTTCTATTTGTTGTAGCAACTTTATCTCTATACACAAGCATGGTTTAAAAAAATTTTTTTTGCCAAAATATACATTTTAACGAAAAAAGTATTAATTGCTATTGTGGTATATAACGGGCGATCAAAAATGAGTTGCTGTCAAGTTGCCTTTGGAAGTTCAAGTTATACGATTTCCCATGTAAACAAAAGTTCCAAAGGTGACTCTACAGCAACCAGGGGCGGCTACTACTAAGGGACGCATGGCCGTGCGCCCCTCCTGAAAAAATCACAGAAAACAGAAAAAAGAATTTGTTTTTTGTTTATCACTGTCTTAACTTCGCAAGAATTAATTCAATGTCCTATACTTAATTATAATCATAATGTAATAATAATCGTAGACTTATTGCGGATCGTAACAAATTCTACGAAAACTAAAATAAACTAGATTGAAGATTTCTTATTTGTTATTTGAATGCACACAATGACCAGCGACAGCCACACGCTCTCGCTGTCATTCAAGGGCACACGGCGCGCGTGCTCGGCCGCATCAACTTCGCGGCCGGCGTTGCCATGACAACAGACAGTAGCATGCGCACTGCACTACTTTCAGTCTGTTCATTTAGATTAGCCTTTGGCCGCACATCTTTAGCGGCTGGAACTCGGCAGTGTCCGGAGTTACGTTGATTTGTATCGAGTTTTCACACGAACGAGATTGAAATTGCCGTTATATTGAAAAAATTCGTATTATGAACGTCTATATTTTTGAATAAAATAATTTTTAATTGAAATTCAGAAGTGCCAGGAAAACGCGTGACCTTGAAAATTTTAAAAAATTTCCCCTGCGGCGCAAACTGGTCTCAACCCTCTCCTTTTGCCATCGCCGCATTTGATAATGTATACAAATATATCTTCGCGCCCCCCCCATACTCAAAGTCCACGAGCCGCCACTGACAGCAACTCATTTTTGATCGCACAGTATTAGGATCACATAATACAAATAAAAACAAATGTAAAAACATTACCATTTCATCTTTAGGCTCGGCGTGTCCCAGTCTTCCAAAACCTCCAAATCCCCAAGAAAATGTACGTTTTTTACTATCAATGGCAACAGTGTGATTTTGGCCACAACTAAAATCGACAATCTCGGAAACGTCGACGGGCGAGACGTGCCCATCCTTACTTCTCTCGATGAAAAGAACGATACGTTTCGGACTCGTCTCGAAATTGAAACACAGCTTGGTGCTGGTTTTGAAATATTTACCATCAGTATTGTGGCCTAGTTGGCCGTACTCCGGAAGACCGAAGGTATGAAGTCCGCCTTTGATATCCAGAATGACGGAGAACTCGGCTCCGCACCCCACCTACAAGTAGCAACTTTAAAAGTCTGAAAGTAAAAATAGTAGTGCCAGGTGTACGTAAATAAGTCTTACAAGCATTCAATTTGGAGAGATTGATAAAAAATAAACAATGTTGTGGGGAAAACAAGGGAGTCCAAAAGACCAGGTTGGCCAAAATTACTTAATGTGTATTTTATATGACATTAACTTCTTAAAGAAACTAAATGAAAATTACTAAATAAATATGGTCTCTTATTCGAAAAACAAGTCGCCGCACTCACCCCAGTGGCTCAAGCGTTATTTCTTATGTGACACATTTGGCGTGTTTCACTTCAAACAGCCAATGAAGTTTATCTTATTATTAAAGTAAAATTTATACAGGGTGTCCAAATGATATAGAATATCATATATACCTTTGTAAATCTCGAAAAATTTTTTAAATAAAAGTATTTGGAATTTCATTTCTCATCACATGGAATTTTTTTATTTTTTTTAAATAAAAGTGCACCAGCTAACAATTTTTTTTTAATGACAAGAGATATCTTTTGCCAACTTATTTGATAGTGAAATTCCCTTTTGGAAAATGTGAAATATTAATACTCTTGGATTGGAAAAATTTTGAGAAAACTGCGCGTAGGTGTATTTCAAATCCGCTCAACAATCTTATTAATCTAGTCACCCATGACCGTTTTATGCTCATCTAGATATTGAAACCAGTGAAGGTACCTCCTCCTCCTTTCTCTATTTCCCAGTATAATTAAAATTTCAGTACGCTGCCTTTTGCATAAAGAAACCATTTCTGTTTACTTCAAATGGATGCCAGTCAACGTAAATTAGTAACTTTTTACTTCAGGTTCACATACTACCTTGACAGTTTTAAAGCGCAATCAATTGTTTCAATATCTAAATGAGGATAAAACGGTCATGGATGACTAGATTAATGATCATTGTTGAATGTTGTTGAAATACAACCACATGCAGTTTTTCGCTGTATAGAGTGTCCTAGATAAACAGAAACTACATGGGGACTTCGGAAACTGTAAGAGATCCAATCTGGGTTAGATGGAGAAAAAATGCGCTATTCCAAACCTACTCATATTTTTTTTTAATTTTTATTTTTTTTTATTATTGGAATATCATCACCATCCTATAAACAAATTTCGAGACAAATTTAATACAATTGTCTAGTTTCGTGTTAGTCAATTTACAGTCAATTGAATGACGTTAACGAATTTTTTCTAGATCTTGGTTTTTTTGCAATCATAGCCAACTGTGTTATGGCCCCCATATTCAATTAATGGGTCATTAATTGGATCGATTCTACTACGTATAACAAGCTCACCTTTGGTTGACAGAAAATGTAAATTTATTTAAAGAAATAATTTGTTACTTACCTGTGAAACAAATACCGTACTTGTGATTGCTGTCATCTGTCATAACCTGCTTGTATCTGTTAAAAGTTTTTCAAATATGTAATTGTGATATGTTTGAGTCACACTACAATGAAATTTAATATGGGAAGGCTTCCAAATTGGGAAAAAGTGGGCATGTGTGATTCTTTCATTTTCCGCCATAGGAACAAATAGGTAGTAACACAGCTATGACAAGAAACACGATTACTGCATTTGTTTCATAGCCAACTAAGTCAAAAACTCTTTCTTTAAATAAATTTACATCTTCCGTCACACAAATGCAAGCTTATTATACCTACATGGTTGAACAGCTCCTTTTATGCTCTATTTAAAGACGCAAAAATTCAATATGAGAGTCATAAGGCAACACATTTGGCTATGGTTGTAAAAAAACTAGGCCTAGAAAAAATTCCCCCTTGAATTCACTGTAATCGGCAATATAAAACTGCTAAATTTTATTTTTTTACAAGATGGCGACTGATCCCTGTAGATATTTTTAATTTTATCTTACCAGAATTGTATCTCTTACCCTTTTTCCACATAAACTGAGGATACAAAGTGTATTTACAAGCTTGCCTCCAAAAACTCAAAATTTGAGTAGGGTGTGAACCTGCGGCTTTACTTGGGTTTTCAGGCATGTCCTTTTTGATTTAGTAAAAATGGCGCATCTTTTACCGACCGATTTCGACATAATTTTAAAATTGGGGGTTTTTAACCTTAACTCCAAAATTAGTCTTTAAAAATTCAAAAAAGTTACCAGAATTATTTTTAGTCAGGCCGCAAAAAAGGTCCGCATTTCATAAAGTCTAGTGGGTTATTTAAAAGCAAAATTGTCAACTGTGTTTTTTTGCATACAACTTTGCAAAAAAAAGTGGCATGGAAAAGTTCTTGATATTTTCTTCTTTAAAACAGCTTCTCAGTATGTAATTAATTGACTCAAGCTGGCATAACATATTTATGGCTAATTACGTTAGAGATTCTTGAGCAAAGTTTTTCTATGGATTGGCACTGGGTTCTCACTTTGGAGAATCGAGCTGATGATGAAATGCTAATTGATTTCAGTTCTAAGTCTTCATTTTTGTATCAGAAGACAGATGGCTAAAGGAATGGTTAAGAGGGTCATTCGTGAGTCAGAGCTATAGCTGAAGGAAGTGGTCTTGGAGAAAGTAGATTCTGTGCTTGAGGACAACATTTTTGATTTTCAGATATGGTACGATGTACAGGATGAAAGGAATTCTTCGGCCAAAGTTTGAGCCTCACGAGTTAGAAAGGGTGGAACGTTGACTGGTAAACAATATTTAAATGGAGTCATTCCCTAAAGAGTGCCCGGCTTTGGAAAAGGAGAACAGCGTGGTCACTAACTTAACAATTATGCTCTGAAAGAACTCAAGAAAGTTCTTCTAGAGTTGGATAAGGACAAGATCTCGCGTGCTGTGACTATACAAGGTGGGCCATTAGTGTGTGGGTTTATTAACGCGCATACTTAAAATTCATTGTGGGGGAATGTTGAAGGACCCTTCAGACTATAACCTAAAAACATTTTCAACAAAATTGCAATTGTTATATATATCAAAGTTGCATTTTTTTGTATGGAACCCTCTGTATATTATTAAATATTTGGGTTCCTTTGTCAATTTTAGTGTGACTTTATGTATTAGACATGATATCTAAAATGAGTCGTTTAGCCGCAATTTTCAAAATTTCAATCAAAACTTGATTTTTTTAAATGGAACTACCAAGTTTTTTTATCACATCAAATGTAAGATTTTATTACCTTTTTAACAATATAATATTTATCTTTTACATATTTTTTGTAATTCAACAATTTCTAATAATTCACAGTGTTTTTCGATTTCCAAAGCCTCTCAGTAATTAATAGGCCGTTAAAAATTATAAACAATTGAATTTGTAAAAAATTTACTCCAAATAAAATAAATTAAAAACAGTCAAAAACTTAAAAAATCAAAATAAAAATAAGAGAAAAATAATTATATTATTACCTCTCAGGAAATTGTTGCTTCAGCCATTCTTTAATGGGTTTATAGCAAAATGAGGTAGGACACCATCGTGCGGAAACCACATTTCTTCTACGATGTGCACCAGAATATTTTGAAATATGTTATTCAAATTCCATTTTTCTAACACAACAATCAACAACAGAATTGTAAATGCTAATAAACTAAATTGACAGATGTTATTTCATTTTATTTTGTGTTAATAATTTCTAATATGGCTTTTTATTCAAATTGATTTATTTATAAGTTCAGGCATTGGTTTAAATGCAAATTCATTATTTTATCTTTTAAAATGGGCTAAGTACGACAAACAAGAGTTTTTGTTTTGTTTTGTGGGGGTAAATGTTTTATCATTGGAATTACTGAGAGGCTTTAAAAATTGCAAAAACACTGAATTATTAGAAATTGTTGAATTACAAAAAATAGATAAGAGATACATACCGAAATGCTTATATCGTTAGAAAGGTAATTAAATTTTACATTTCATGCAATAAAAAAACTTTGTAGTTCCATTTAAAAAAATCAAGTTACCTCCTCGGTTACCTCTCATTGAAATTTTGAAAATTGACGGAGTGATCTCTTTTAACACAAAAAAAGTTTAACTTGCTGTTCAGCGTATGTTAGTACATTTCATGATTAGTGCCACTGCAAAGTCACGGCCTTCTAAGTTTTATGATAACTGCGATATTCAATTTTTACTGGAAATCTACTTTTTGAAAAAACGGCAAATTGCGGCTAAACTACTCATGTTAGATATGATGTGTAATACATAGTCACACTAAAATCTCACTAAAATTGACCATGGAATCGAAATTTGTAATAATATACAGCAAGTTCCATGTAAAAAAATGCAATGTTGATATAAATCACCCTGTATAACAATTGCAATTTCGGTGAAAATTTAGGTTGTAGCCTTAAGGGTTCTTCAACATTCCCCCACAATGAATATTAAGTATGCGCGTTAATAAACCCACAATCGTCCACCTACACACTAATGGCCCACCCTGTAGAGGGAACAGTCCCACATGGGTGGAAGCTGGGAACGACTTGTTGGAAGAGAACTTTGAGCAGTGCATCATGAAGTGCCTCCAAGGAAGTGCTGAAAACTGTAATGGTAGAGGTGGAGTAATCTGTCAAGAGTCGTCCTCTTACTCATGTATCAACCGACGTTGGAGATTTGGTGTGCATCATTTCAAAATAAAGGTCAAGCGCCATTGTTATACAACGATTAGTTAAGAAAGCATACCATGGACAGAAACAAGCAAAAATGCAAAAAACAAGAATAGACAAAGTTCGTTTATACAGAAGAGCCACTGTATGTACCGCATGCCCTATTTGGTTGAGACTGCAGTGTATCTCACCTGTTTTTAAAGATAAGAAACATAAACAGAATCAATCTAGCTACTTTTATCTTTGAGATACAAGGTGAAAACAAAAAGTTTGACTTTTTGGGATGTTATATCTTTCTGGCCATGTAAGATGTGACAAAAATAAAAACTGCCTATTTTAGATGTTTTTACGTGGCATTTTGGACCACCTTTTCTGAGATTTGACCCAAAGTTGGTATTTTTTAAATTCAACACCCTATATATCTTAACGTCAATATTTTGCATTCTTTTTTCCTCATTACATTGATATATCACAACCAATATTTTTTTATGTAAGTACCTAATTTTATGTTATATCAATATTTTTAAATTTTTGACATGACCATAAGCTATTTTTATTGATTAGTATTGACTGCCTTGGATACAATAAGAAAACAAAATTTCCATGAATCCATGGCCTACCGTAAGCCGTAAAAAATAAGGTTCTTATTATTGGTTCAATATAGGTTGTGACCGACCTCAATGTACCTAATAAGAGAAAAAAGTTGATATTAAGGTATACAGGGTGTTGCATTTAAAAATACCAGTTTCTGGCTGTAACCATTTAAAGCTTTTTAAAAAGTTGTTAGGGACTTGTACGGCTATGCAACAGACCTATCCCAGGCACCTGGTATCTTAATTATTTCTTCTTTTCTTGTAGATTGGAAAAATTGTTTAAAAATAATAAACAAAATAAACCAACAAAGCAGTGATACAGATTCTAGAGACCAATTGTACCAAATTTTCACGCTTGCAACACAATTATTTGCCATTTTTTACAAAGTTTACGACTGTATACTGCCAACACTGTAACAGTTACCTTGATAATCGGGGCTCCTCTATAGTTAATACGCATGGGTGATAAAATTGTCGGCTGCAAGTTCCCAACGCCGCACTGCCCCGAACGATTATCTCCGCAGGCATACACGGTGCCGGTATCGGTCAAAAACAATGTGTGATTACGACCGCAGGCGACTCCGATGACGTTTTTGTCTTGCAATGCGGGAACAAGCGTGGGCTCTTGCACTATCGTAAGATTGTTCAAACCGAGTTGGCCATACTGGTTGCGTCCAAACGTCATCGCCTTTCCCTCCTCTGTAACCAGAACGTTATGCGCCGCCACACATCCGCTTACGGCTAGACGAATCTGAGCCAAATCGAGATTAGTAAATATATGCGGGGATGGAAAAATACCTTATAATTAGTGAATCGAGTGGGACTGTACAAGTTTGGATGTAGTTTGAGTGTTGTTTTAGCATCTCGACGTCCGGTAAGCTCCCAGTTGATTAAACCGCAAATAAGTAGTTGACCTGCCGGTTTAATGAGAGTTTTAAGTAACTCTTGTGGTAAAGGTAATGCTTCGTCCAGCAAATCGCCATGCCCGGCGATCAGAACCTCGTCGGGTTGAGTAGCATTTTCCGATTCGCTATTATCACTCAATTCGGAATCAATTTCAGTTTCTTTCCTTTTATTCTTCTTAGGGCCAGCTTTCTTTGTTGGAGCTCGTTTACGCTTGCTAGACATTGTTGTAGAAAGTAACAAACAATCTCAATGAAAGTACTACTAATTCACAAATGAACCGTTTAAAAATATCACATAAATTTTTATTAAAAGGATGAATGAAAACGTGTTTTGGTGTAAAAAATGAAATAAATGTCAATTAATGCAGGTAGTTATCGACTACCGAACCGTTAATACAAATTTAACCGGCAATCAAAATGGCATCCACAAGAGTTCGAGACCACAGCACAACAACACCCAAACCCCCCAAACGCATCGTAAATCAACTCGGTTAGTTCAGGGGCTAAAACCACAGTTAAAAAACTATTTATCTTCTTTTAAAGTATTTATTAGCAGTTGCCATTCACAGAGGGAACGGAAAAAAGACCTCAAAAACTTTGGGAAGTGAGTGAAAATGAAAGTGTGGATAAATAACAGGCAACTAAAGTGATGAAGCCATTTAGAAAAATGTTAAAAACGTTTAAATTGAAGTGCTAATTAAAATTGTTAACACTTCAATAATCTAAAATGAAATTCCCGCCTATAAATGACAACAGCGCATGGCATTTTGCACAGGGGCGTACTTCACAACTTCGATTGTATGAACATGGAAGTAGTAAGCCAAATGTGGCGTATAGGCAACTTGTCTAGCAAGAACGCATTTTTGCTTCCTATGGGTTTTAGTTTTAGTTCGTAGATATAGACATCAGGTGACCGTAACCACGAACTCATTTATGGCATTCACTAAGGTACAGAAATCTACTCCTTGGCACTGTAGTTGTACTACTCGCGTATAGGCTTGACATCAATACATTTTTGTGTAGGTGGTTTGCATCGTTGATGGTTGAATGCGTCATGCCACAAATTACACAATCAACTGATTACTAATCTTATGCATTTCATGGGTAACACCATTCTTTGTAACACATTTAGGTATAGTTAAAAGCGCCCTTTATTGAGCAGCACTACAGCGACTTTATTGAGGCAGTGGGGACAACAGCGCATCTCGTTCTTGATTGGTCGTTGGTTCCGATCGCCATATTGGAGCTAAATTCCAAACTGGCCAATAGAAAGCCTCCAAAACGACGCGGTGCACTCCGTGTTATAATTATTACTTATACTGTTTTGATAGGGTCACATGTAATTGTCACGGCTTCACGTTACTAGTTTAACTTTGCTTCTTGTATTTGCTTTATTTTACGTTATTTTAAGTGAATGGGAAAGTCGAAAACGCTCGGTATTGGATTAATGTTTAACACCTTCGTCGGTATCTTTCTAAAATCGGCTTCATTCCCCGCAAATTCACTATGGTCGCAGTAAATTTTTCTCTTCGAATGGCTCTGATACATTGGCCCTTTAAAGTTTTATCCGTTGGAAATCTGCACATTGTTTAAAATTTTATCTACAGAGTACATATTGATACGCACGAGTTAACCTAAGTTTATTGGTTTATTCTCGACAGAAATTTATCTGTTAACTAATTCGAGCTAATCACGAGAATGGATAATGAACGGAACATGTAAAATAACCGCTTATTTCATTCTATTGTACATCATCTCTGCGATTTTTGCCCCACCGTGCATTGTGTGTTGCATACTGTGTCGACAACACCTTAGATATGTTACGCGCAGTCTAGTCATGGCAAGTCTGGTCGCCACTGTCCTTATGTTAAGAAGTCACTGTAAACAGCACTATAAACTGTAAAATGACACTTATCAGTTTATGCATTAGATGTCGCTGCAAAAAATTTAAATCCGCCATTCGCATTCCTTATAGTCCGGGCACTTGAATATTTTTTTGAGGTTCACTCGGTACCATGGACTTAATTTATGTTTTTTGGGCCCCTGAATCCGAATTTCAAAGGCACCGTGCCGAATTCCTGGTCAGTTTGTTGTTATTAACAATTTAAGTTGCAAAATTGAGTTCTTTTGCGTTTTCGATCGAAAAACGAGAGGATAGCTCAAATTTAACCTCAAAATCCGATTATACGGAAAAAAAATACCCTAAAAACATGTGCAACTTATGTGTTAGTCTACGGTTTCACTTACATCGAACTGTATTTTGAATTTAGCGCCACATTTGACCTAAAACGGAGGACATGATTGTGTTTATGTACAGTATGTCCTGAGGTCAGGTTCACTCTACCTATGATCGAACATTTTCTTTCAATTTTGCAAGAAAATGTCTTTTTTTAATAAAAAATCCTTTTATTCCAAAACTCTAAATATTTTCTTTTAAAATGCGAGGTTTTCGAATAAACTGAAAAAAACCCTCTTGTAACATCAAAACTATTATTAGGTCCAAAATTGGCAGGTAAAAATCAGGTAAGCCATGATTATTGACTAATGTACTTGTAATTGTAGGTTTTTATTTTATTAAAATTTATCTGTCAATTTTAAGTTGCCAAGGAAATTTTCTCAATTTTACATATTTGAAACTTTGCATTTTAGAGGAACACTAAATGGTGCATTGAAGGTTTTGGGGACTTTTTATAAAGAATGTTTTTTCTCGAAGAATGGTTTATTTATACATAGCTATAGTAAACCACGGAACATACTGCTAGAACATACAGCCGTCACTGCGCCATCTACCGAAACAAGAGCACTCGATAGCGGTTAAGGAACCACTACCTCTTGCCCTTGCGTGCTATAGAACCACTCCAAACACTACTACTCTAACCTATAAAAAATAAAGTAAGTGGGAGTGACAGCGGCTGTGATTAAATGACGAAAAAAATAATAGTTTATAACCATGGTGTTTAATTTTCCAGCCTTTTCGTATATTATTGCTCTTATAGTAGATGCATTTCTAATATTTTTTTCGCTATTTCACGTTATCGCATTTGATGAGCTTAAAACCGACTATAAAAATCCAATAGATCAATGTAATAGTTTAAACCCTGTAAGTACAACAGTTCCTATGCTAAGTACATGACATCAATATTTTCTTTCTAATTTTAGTTAGTACTTCCCGAGTATTTATTACATCTACTCTTTAATGTACTTTTCGCTGCTGCTGGAGAATGGTATTCACTATTAATCAACATGCCGCTAATTGCGTACCACATAAACCGATACCGTACCAGGCCGGTAATGTCTGGACCGGGCCTTTATGATCCGACGAGCATCATGAATGCTGATACGTTAACCCGTTGTCAAAGAGAGGGTTGGATAAAATTGGCATTTTACCTCCTCTCCTTCTTCTATTATCTTTATGGGTATGTTATTACATTGGAGAAAGCTAATGAGCACTCAAGAGAACACACGTGATAATTAAGTAGACGGTTTCCTTTCTTTTTGTTTGTGTTCCTTACTTTTATTCTTTAGGTGTTACTCGACCGAATTAATTAATGTTCGATCTGATATGTTAATATTCCTCCATTAGGGACATTCACAAAATATTTGTGAATTGTTTGTATTTTATATGTACTGATTTTTATTTTTTTTATTATTTATATAGAACCGAAATCCCTAACTTCTCTGTCTGTTGCAGAATGATTTACTGTCTTATTTCAACGTGAATTCCAATTCGGAACGCAGAACATCACTGAATACGTACTGGGATTTCGGTTCTTATTCTTATGCATGGTGTCTCTTATTATTTAAGTTGTAATTAATTCTTTTAATTGCATAATAAGACGAACCGATATCCCTCATCCTTTAAAGTAACATGTAGCTGTACGTTTAATTCATACAAAGTTTCTATCGATGTGTTTCTTATGTATCTGTCAACCAATATGAATTGCAAAGTAAGCTATAATTACAGTTATCGGTTACGAATAAGTAAATGGAAAATATTAATTTAATGCTCTACTATTATTTGTTCATTTTTGCTTGTTATTGCTAAAACGTTATTTTATCACATCGACATTAACTGTGTAGCTATGTGTGCATGTAATTATTGGTAAAGGTCTGTTAACTTATTATTGTGTTCAATTTTGTGAGTGGTAACTGCTCATAGTGTACATTTCTGAGAGGTTTCACATTAAGTCAATTTACTCCAAGAGGAATCAGTTTAATTTGTTAAAGTAGTACAATAACCATGCATAATTGTATCTTTTAAAGAGGCAATAAACAATACTAAAGTTGTGTTCTTAATTATTGCTTTTCGAACATAATGGATAAGCATTAGTACTGAGCGGAGCAATAGAAGTAAGAATTGAAGGTCTGCATGATGTGCCATGTATAGTCTAGATGGAAATGGCACCAACAGTTGTTGCTCGTTTTATATAACCCTCTCTTTGATGTGTACACCATCCGATACAAGGTAACACTCTTGTATTTATATGGATTAAAATCGAATTTATAAAAATCGTTTTTCATAAATGGCGCCAAATACAAAGGCGTGTAAAAATTTCGTATACCTGTAACGGGGGCCGATTCTAACTGATTTCGACGGTTGAAATTTCAGTAGTGTAGTCGAAATTGCGATCGTAACCATCTATCGGTGTTATCATGAACTACTAAATACGTCATTGAAACGTCATAACTTTTCTACCGTTGAAAATAAATTCAACTACACCTTTTCCACTTTTATTCGAGAAACTATCAAGTTAATTTGAGAAAGTATCAATTGTATTTGAGAATAGTAAAATGTATTTGAGAAAACAACAAATGTAGTTCAGAATAGTGATTTGTATTTGAGAAGGCATCAAATGAATTTGAGAATAGTAAATTGTATTCAAGAAATGGTAAAATGTATTTGAGAATCAATTGAAAAAGAGAAAAACAAAATCACATGTATAACACAGCCTGATGCTGCTGCTGCTGTTGCGGGACTACATACAGTAGCGGGATTATAAAAATTTGATTTTTAATAATCTTAATATTACATTCTGAATTCTGAAATACAAATAACGACTTCTTAAAATTAAATGATACTTTCTCAAATACAATTGACTATTGTGGAAAAGGTGTAGACTACAGTGGTTGAAATTACGATTTCAACGTCGAAATAGAAGGGATAGCGACAGTGCGCGCTTAGTTATTCAGAGAGTAGTACGTTCTTTTAACCTCAATTTTGTGTTTTGGTACACTGTTTACATTTTTTATCCGTGGCTTTGTTTTGTTTTACTTTTACCTACGTATCTTACAATGGCGGAGACTAAAATCACATCCCAACAAAAAACCATTTTAATTTCCTTCATGGAGGAATAATAATAGGTACGATTGTAGCTATACTGTAGGGTTACGGTCGAACATAAGGTTTTGTTTATAAAGTTTAAAATAGTTCAAAATCAGACAGCCAACTTAGCAAAATATAAGATCAAACTTAAAGAAACATAAACTTCCTATTACACCCTAAGAGTAGAAATTTGGTGTCATGGCGCCGTCGAAATTCTTTTTCGACCGTTGAAATCAGCTAGAATCGGCCCCCAGAAATGTATAATTTGTAAGAGGACAGGATGAAGAACGCAACCTAATGGGATATACAGTGCTAATGTAAAATTGGCAACACTGCAAATAGATTTTTTGAATGTTGAATGGATAAATAGCGTAGTGCATATCACAGAACACCTCCGTGGGGTCCATGTTCCCAGCCCCCCCCCCCCCAGTATTAGAAAAAATGGTTATGACTAATTTAAAGTATTGTTCACGTTTTGTACCGTTTAGTTCCAATAACAAAAAATTTTGTTCTAAGCGTAACATTAGATAAGAGCTAGTTGAATTTGGGGGGGCCGATAACACGTCATCCCCCCCAACTTGATATTTTACAACTACTTTGAGGCAAAAATTTTGTATCGCTTTTGTGCCGTTTTGTTCTTTTATTAGAAAGTTTTGTTCTTAAATCGTTTGAGAGAGATATGAAAATGAAATTGGGGGGGCGGTAAACATGTAAGCCCCTCCACATTGTTTTTTAAATATTGTTATCAATGCAAGGTTTTGTTCTAGTTTTGTGCTTTTTTGTTCCTTTATTAGAAAGTTTTGTACTCATACCGTTTCATAGTAAAACGCAATTCAAATTGGGGGGGCTGCAGACATAACCGGCACCTCACTAACATTCTTTTATTTTTCTTATACCCATATTTTCTTCTAGTTTTGTACAGTTTTGTTCTTTTATTCAACAGTTGTTATTAATCCATTTGAAAAATATATCTACTTGATCGTTCTGGTAAATTTAAAAAGTGAGTACTCAAGTAAGTACCACGGTCATTAATCAATGCTCATTCACTGCTCTTGTATTTGATGCACCTCTTTAGAACCTCCTTTGATTTAGGGTATATCGCCAAACGTTAGAGAAATGTAATACCTAAGGACCGCGAAGACCCATATGCCGATCATCGTGTTACGTTCACTTTGAGCAACCGTAACAAAATTGTCTTGAGATAAGCATACGATAAGCTCAGTCAAAGTAGTGGTGGGTCGGGATGAATCTGCGGGGTTCTTATACAGAAGCACAAATAAGCATAAATGGAAAAGTAGTAAAAGTAACCGCGGATAGGCGCCACTTAGTCTTCAGTACACAAGAAAAGGACATATACTTACTTACCAAAAGAGGGAAACAAGGCAGACTATGAGATCCTTGTTCTGGTCGTGCTAGGCTAAAGGAATAAAATAGAACATAAATAATAATAAATTGACGTCACAATGGATAGCGATTTAATCCAATGATCTCAATAATATTACAAATAGGCCGGATGTGCCCCGCATCGGGGCGACGAATATCGGTCCAACTGGAATCGTTTATCCAAATTGATCGGGCTGATTAAAGCCGGCAATTCGTGTCCATAGGACGGTCGTTTTTATTATAATTTTGATCGGGTTGACATTAGACTTCGATGAGACGTCAAGTGAAGACGAAGGACTTCTTTTTTGTAGGTACCACAGAAGAAGGAAAATTAACCACCAAACCTATTATGTACATCCATACATAAGGAATAGGAACGGAGGTGCTTTGATTTGTACCCGTGAACTTACCTATTATGAACAAAAATTTAAATCTATGTATTGCATGATCAAAAATAGTCTTTTTTCCTTTTGGCTGACCTTGCTCGACGATGAATTGGAAAAAGAAACACTAATTATAGAAGATGTGTGACAGTAGAAGAAAGCTTGCTCATAACACTAAGGTTCGAGTGATCACTGTAACAGCCATCATCATAGACATCGATATTTTTCCTCTAAAAGACGCAAATCAATATTTAATTTGATTTCACTATCCTCCATTTTTTGCACTTCTTCAAAAGCGAGTTTATTACAACTCACGACAGACGACAATTGATCGAGCAAACAGCGTCGGGCTAAAATAGTCGGTTGCGATTTCGATCGCTCCCGACAAAAATCGAACCTGTTGACAGGCTTCCAACCACCTACTTCACGCTCGCGATCTTTATCGGACGATTCAAATCGCACTGGTCTTGGTCACCCCGATCCGGTTGACACCGTTCCGTAACGTAACTGTTTACGGTATGAGGTACGAAATAAGAAATAAACGGTAACGTAGCTCCAATTTTGTTTGCGTCATATGTTGTCAAACTGACGTGCATGTGGTTACTTACGTTTAAGATTGTAGTACCAAAGGTTATTTTGCTTTTCATAGACGTAGGTAAACGAATATGGATAGTGACGATATCATAATCATAGCGCTTCTAGTGTTAATACACCTTTAACGCAAATGTTTAACGGTGGAATATCCTCTCTTCTTAATAGAAAAACATGAAAACGGCAACACTGCGCGCAGCTGTTCAATCTTTTAAAACAACGCACGCGCGATAAATCGCTAACGAACCCCCACGATCCGTAACGATTGCTCCTAATTTCGTAAGCGATAAGGTATGAAATGAAATAATCCATTACCTCTTACTATTAATAACAACTGTTGAATAAAAGAACAAAACTGTACAAAACTAGAAGAAAATATGGGTATAAGAAAAATAAAAGAATGTTAGTGGGGTGCCGGTTATGTCTGCAGCCCCCCCAATTTGAATTGCGTTTTACTATGAAGCGGTATGAGTACAAAACTTTCTAATAAAGGAACAAAAAAGCACAAAACTAGAACAAAACCTTGCGTTGATAACAATATTTAAAAAACAATGTGGAGGGGCTTACATGTTTACCGCCCCCCCAATTTCATTTTCATATCTCTCTCAAACGATTTAAGAACAAAACTTTCTAATAAAAGAACAAAACGGCACAAAAGCGATACAAAATTTTTGCCTCAAAGTAGTTGTAAAATATCAAGTTGGGGGGGATGACGTGTTATCGGCCCCCCCAAATTCAACTTGCTCTTATCTAATGTTACGCTTAGAACAAAATTTTTTGTTATTGGAACTAAACGGTACAAAACGTGAACAATACTTTAAATTAGTCATAACCATTTTTTCTAATACTGGGGGGGGCTGGGAACATGGACCTCACCCCGTGCATATTCCAGACAACGGGGCGTCATCAAGTCGATAAAAGATTAGTCACCGGCAAAAAGGTAGGTATTAAACCGGATGCGACGCACCCTTTCCTTGAAATATGATGACGTGAGACATCATCGGGAAGGGAATTAAATAAAAGACAGAACTTTTGTGCCTAAGAAATTACAAGATCAAATAAATATATTACGCACACAAGGCCATGCCAGGGAAACCCTTCTACGGGACTAAAACGCAACGCAAATACATTAAATAAATCACCTACAGTAATAAAATGCAAGAGAAAATACACATAAACAAAACATCTCAAATTGTATGATAAAAATCTCATAATCAAATCAAATGCAATTAAACAAGTTCATAAAAATAAAATGCACAAGACATCATAAATGCAGGTGGAAAACATGATAAATCAATTCAGTACAAAAACACATCAAAATACCTGTACGAACAATAACACAACTGGTAAAATAAATAAATTGCATGTACATAGGAAACATGTAAATGGTGTGGCTCTACTCCAGCCTTCCGTTATCATAATTTAATTTAACACGAAAAGTACATGTGAGAATGCCAATGGCAAATAGCAAGTATTCTTGTGAAAATTGATTATCGCTCAAACAGAACATATTTTAAATAGAGGAAATGTTAATGAGAGGGCCCCCCACTCGCATTGCTAAGATGCTAAGAGCTGCAATCCGCACGAGACGAGTAGGCAACAGATAC